TGCAAAATATAATTCTTCACAAATATATATTAGCTAAAACAGCGTGTCTCAGATAGGTCCAGAAGAAATTATAGGACTACCTATTTTCAAGTTCCTTCCTTAATCTTGTTAATGTAACAATTTTACTATTTATTATTATTTATTATTTTTATAAATACCTCAAGGTGACAAACATATCCAATACTCCTTCCTCCTCAAATTTTCCCCACAAAAACAACCTGTGAGGTGAGCTGGAGTGAGGGAGAATGATTGGGCCAAAGTCACCCAGTTGGCTTTCATGGCTAAGGCAGAACTTGAACTCATGCTCTCCTATTTTCTAGCCTGATGCCTTAACCACTAGACCAAACTGGCTCTGTCAAGTGACTGCACCTACACAGCTACAACCCTTGTATATCCTCACCAACCCTCACATCAATATTTAACTGAGACATAATTCATTCCTGCTAAGCCTCTACCTGTTGGAAATTCTGCAAGCATTTTTGAAAGCCAGGCAAACTTAAAAGCAAGCAATGGCTTCTCAACAGATGTGAAATCCCATCCCCCACTAGTCTGAAATGATAATCTGAGTATAGCACATCCGTAGATTACCTCATACTGCACAGTTGATCTAGTCATGGTTACTCGGAAGTTCCAAACTATGACCTATTCAGGATTACCTGGAGGTTCGCTCAGTTTCAAAGGTCACTCTCATTGCAGAGAATTGCAATTTAAGGATTATTTTTATGGCTTCCTGCTTATCAAAGTCATTTCCTTCTGTAATAGGCATGTGTCAAAGATTATCTGAAATGAAGAAGTGCAATCACTAACGGACAACCTTTAGGGCAATTAGCTCTCTGAGTTCAAGGTAAACAAGCAAGATTTATCACTTGTATATTTACAAGGAAAAAGAAAACCTAAAGTAGAGGAGTTAGAAGCATAAGTGTTTCCCCCAAAATAAGATCTTGTCTTATATTTTTTTGAACCCCGAAATAAGCACTTGGCCTTATTTTAGGAGAGGTCTTATTGTTTTGGGGCGAGTGGAGCAAGACGGGCTCCTCTTGCCATCTTACATGATTTCCAGCTCTGTCTTCCTAACCCTAACCAGAGGAAATGGTGGGGACTGGCTATGCATGCGTTTAAATACCGTATTTTTCAGAGTATAAGACACACCGGAGTATAAAATGCACCTACCTTTTTTGGTTGTTTTTTTTTTAAAAAAAGTTTGTTGTTTTTTTTAGACAAGCACACTTACAAACATACAATGTATTTTCTTTGAAGAGAGTGTTTGGCTGGTTCACAAATTTAAAGTGTTTAGTCATTTCAATTAAATTTACAATTTCTATATTTCCTTTTTGCCATATTTATTCCTCATCTATTTTTTTAAAAAAAATATTTTTAAAAAAGTATTTTAAAATATTACTCTTCAATCTCATCTCTAATCTTAATCAAATTCAATTTTTCCCTTCTATTCTGTATTATACCCCTTCCCATTGTCATCTATTTTTATATCCATCCTCACATTGGTTAATTATTTAATATTACAATTGTTTAATACAAATTCAACATTTTTATATAAATCAATTAGTTATAACTATGTTTTTTGTATATTAATCAATATGACCATGAATATTCCAATTATTTCCATGCAATCCAATTTCTTACAAATCAATTAATTATATTTACCAATAATAATAAACCAAATAATTTCCCCCATATATTCCTCCAAACCACAACTTAACCATTTCTCTTTTCAACACAATATACAATTAATAGTATCTCAATTATTACAATTCCCTAATTAAATAGAGCTTTTTTTCTTTTGTGTTTTAAAATCTTGAACTCTCCTCTTTTGCCCTAAATTTCCCATTGTTTGCACCTACCTTTTTTGGTGAGAAAAAAGAAAAAGAAATCTCTCTCTGCCTCATTTTGTCACGTTGCAGCAGAGCCTGCTTTACTTTCAGTTTCATTTTTTCAGCATAGCTAGGGGGAAAAAATCTGCTCCAGCACTTTTTGCAGCAAGCAGGAGAGCCCTGTGTAAAACAGCTGAGAGCAAATCAGCTGAGAGTCAGGAGGCCGATCTAATCAACTTGTGCTAATTAACCTATGCTGAAGCTGAAAGAGGCTGGTTTTTCTTGCTGTTTGCTTGCAAGAAGGTAACTGCTGCGAGGCACAGGCCAAAGGGTGGGGGCCAGTGGGTGGGCAGGGCTACATTCGGTGTATAAAATGCACCTAAATTTTCACCCCCTTTTGGGGGGTAAAAAGGTGTGTCTTATACTCTGAAAAATACGGTATTTTTGGGGAGGGCTTATTTTTTGGGGGGGGCTTATTTTAGCGCATGTGCTCAAAGGCCCAATTGGGCTTATTATCAGGGGATGTCTTATTTTCAGGGAAACAAGGTAGATGCTAAATAAACCACATCACCCTTGGACATTGGCAGAGCTGCTGCTTGATAGGTTTTTAATGTAATTTGCATTAATATACACACTTCCATGACTAAAGTCACCAGAAGCTGTGTTGTGCTGGTTCACCTCCTTTTTCCAAGATTGGTTCCAGTCAGTGGGGATTGGGAAGGAGAGATCCCACCCCTGGTCTCCACTATGTGGACCGCTAACAGATTCTGTGCTCTCTCTGCTCCTATTCAGCATCTACACCAGACTGTGAGTGAACACATTCGTCACCACAGGATGAGGTATCATCTCACCAATTACATCTGCTTGTCCCTTCCAATTTGGCAAGAGAGTCATGCTGTAGGTCTTGTCTCTCAGGAAATTATAGCAATAGCAATAGCACTTAGACTTATATACTGCTTCATAGTGCTTTACAGCCCTCTCTAAGCACTTTTTTTTGGGGGGATAGAGTCATCTTATTCCCCCAACAATCTGGCTCCTCATTTTATTAACCTTGGAAGGATGAAAGGCTGAGTCAACCTTGAACTGGTGAGACTCGAACTGCCAAACTGCTGGCAGTCAGCAGGCAGCAGAATTAGCCTGCAGTACTGTATTCTAACATGCGCCACCACAGCTCTTAGCAATTATACTGTTCTGACCCAGCTCCTCAAACAAACCCTCTGAAGTTAACTCAAAGATTCCTTTATTAGAAGCACCAGCAGCCCCGGCAAAAAGTTTCTCTCTCACAGCAGGCTAACAAGTCTGTCCGGCAGGGAGATGAATAGTTGTCTGCCACATCTATTCATCTCCGCCCCCTACCTTTTATCCCCAGAGCTAGGGTGGGGCTTCACTAGCAATGGTGGGTCTTCCTTCCCAAGGATTGGGCCACGGATTTCCATTGCTCCCCTCTCTTCTGTCTTCTGCACATCTGCATGTCAGGCACTGGACCCAGCTGTTCCTCCTCTTCCTCATCAGCCACCTCCAGACCTGGGACCTGTTGACTCTCCATCCGAGGGCCCAGGCTCCGCCTCTGTCTCTCTCTCTGCCAGCCCCATTCCCTCTTCCTCCTCGGAGCTCTCAGGTTACCTTGATGCTGGCCCTGACTCCCATACCTCCTCCTCCTCTGATTCAGCTGCTGGAGAGGCCAGCAGCCGACAAACCACAACACATACTTGGCAAGCCCAAGGAGGCCTTCTCTGTTGTGGTGCCTTGTGAAACATTCGCTCTCCACCCCGAAGTAAAGTCAGCTCCATTCTTCCTTACTTTCTGGAAGTCCCTCAAGACATGGCTCTGCCATAAGGCCTAGGGATCTCAGGGTACAATATGGTGATTGATGATTCAATCTTGTATATGTCTGTATACGTGTGTGTTTATATGACTGTATTTGACGTGTTTATTGTTTTTATACTTTTGCTATACACTGCGTAGAGTCACTTCTTATGAGATAGGCAGCCATATAAATTTGATAAACAAAAGTAATTTATTTATGAATAAAATAATGACAGCTATAAATAATAGCAGTACTGTGGCAAAAGAAAGCAAATATAATACCAATAATAATAGGCTCCTTGGTGCAATCCCAAAAAAACTGGAGCACCACTAGGAACACTATTGGCATTGATAACATCCCCATCAGTCGATTACAAAAGGCAGCTTTACTTGGAACAGCTTACATCCTGCAACAATGCCTTTAACACCATCAAACTACAACATCTTCCTATCCAGGTCCTTGGGAAGGATCTGATAGTTGGATAAAAATGCCAAATTCAGTATAAATATCTGGCTGACTGTGTGACAAACAACTGACTTAATTGATAGGAATACTTTAACCTTTTTTGAAACCCAATAAAAATATGGTTACATTCACATGGAAAATAAGTTAGCCAGTCTAGTTGGCCTTCTTTCTTTTTGTTTGAATCCAGACTTCCTGCTTGCTTCTGCTAAACAGAATACATTTGTACACCAAGAACAATTCTGGATTACTATTCTAGCTTCTAAAGAGAGCAACATACTAATAATCTCATGTTAGACTAAACAAAGCATTTTTAATTTCTTTAGTTGTTTGTACTAGAAATAAGAGCCAAGCAGGAATGAGTAACCTTAGTCCCATTAGAATCCTGCTTACTCACAATAAACCAGGATTTAATAGATTCAGGGTTCACCAATTGCTCCAGTTTTCTTAGCTTTCTTTCCAACACTGGTTCAACACTTCAGCATTTGGAATGAATGTGTCCTACAGATAGGCATTCTGTTCATATTAAAGCAGCTTGTGGCAAAGAGAATGAAGATCAAATTACAAATTTCCTTTCATCCACTTTGATACAACAGAATGATTGCTGGAATATTACCAGGAGAAAATGAAAAAGCTGTTAGCGACAGTGGTGATTAATTACTAAGTTTGCAATCTGATCTTGCTTTCTCCAAGCTTGATTCAAGTAAGCTAATTAGCTATCATTCTCTCTTTTCATAAAAAAAAAAAAGTCAACTTCTTTTTTTTAAAGAAAGTCAAGCTACCATAATATATTAGACCTAATGAAGCAAAGAAGGAATACATTATTGCAATTATTACAATTTACGAATAAAATAGAGATTTTAACATTCTTTTTTAAATTATGGAAGTAATTAAGTCATATTTCATACCTTTACATACTCCAAAGCTGGATCCATAGTATTCTGGTCTCTGAAAAGAAGTAGCAGTATGTTAGCCAGTATAATCATTCTGTGTAATTTAAAACAAAATTGGTTTTATCTTGTTACTCCTCTTTTATTGTCTCTTTTAAAGGAGAGCGATTTAAATCAGGGGAAACTTTCAGTTTGCATCTAGAACAAGTTCTAAACTGAATTCACACATCATATGAAGCCATAATGTAGTTTGCTATGCAGCTCTTACCATAATGGTTTATAAACATGATCTATGCCTTAACATTATTATTCCCTATCAAATAAATGTGATAAAGTAAATTGTTTTTATTATAAGATCCAATCCCAGCCTTGTCTCATGGCAATATTTAGAGATATAATTAATCAGAATCTGGACAATATATAGCACTGGCTCTTTTCCAGCTATTCAGCAAACATGGGATGAGCTATCAACCCAGCAAAAATTAGTATTATAAAAAACTAAACTCAAAATGGATTACCTATCCATAGCAGTGGCCCAATTTATAAAATACTAGTAGTTTCTAATAATAATAAAGTAATTATAAGAATGGGAATATCTGAGCAATATTCAAACAATAACAATACCCAGAAAACTCCCAGAAACATCTGCTCTAAAGGACTGTAATCTTCCTACAGGGCATTACTGAATACTATAAACATTCTATTCACATTAAGAAAATATTTAAAAAGCGCAAAATGCCATATTTATAATATTAATGGTACATGTCCGAAATGATAGGAAGTATTATTGAGTTTCGAATACAAAAAAAAATAGCTTGCTTCACTGAGTAGGCATACAGTAACTTCCTCCATCATTCTTCCCAAATGTGAGTGAAAAGAAATTATTTCTATCCATCCCCACTTCTGTCCACCCCCCCAAAAAATGATTGGAAAACAGCTTTTAAATGCACTTTTATCAATTGGGATGAATGAATAAGAGAGGAATTGAATCATTAAAGAGACAATGAAAAGCAGTAATTTAAATAATACTGAATTTTCTAATAAGCCTTTTGAAACATATAGCATATGAAGGCAAAAGAACAGACTTTTAATGGAAAATACAGAATTACTCTATAGTTTTAGAATAAAATAACAAATTAGCATAGATGTTATTAAAAAGTACAGATATAGGGGTCATACTGTGCTCTATTATATGGGGGTTCAAATTACTTTCCAGGTTTAATACTGTACTGAATAGAAGTTGATTTTCTATTAAATCATTCTGAATAAAGCATCATTTAGATAACTTCTGAATAACTTTGGGTGTTTTTTTTTCAAACTTAAACGATATATTGTACATAAACTTTATTATAAATTAATTAGATAAAATTCACATATACTATAGTAAGAATGAAAAAGAAAATCAGATAGGAACTTTTTTCTATTTTCCCCAAATTCCTCTAATGACAATAAATCCTAACTTTGAACTCTCATAATTTCTTACCACTAGCTATGCCGATCGGAGTGGATGGGCACCTAAAATCTATAAAAGTCTGAAGACTACCAGACTCCTTCTCCTACTACTGTCCTTAGGGACTAACAAACATACACTATAAACCATAATACATTTGTTAATGTTTAATGTTACAAGGATCTTTATTTTTCTACGTGTGTCTCCCTGCCCTCTCCTTTGAAGATAACACCAAGTATCTGATGAAAAAGAATAGTCCTTATGATCTTGCGCTGAATGCATGTATTAGTTTTTTTTAATATACATTGTTTTTGTTAACTGATTAATCTGGCTGTTCCACTGGAAAAAGCTTTTGATGGTGCTGAACGACAAGCACCATCAGCCCCACTCCGGTAGCTTCAAACAGGATATTTATTAAATTAATCTTGTGCTAGCAATTCAATATCCAACTTCAGGAGACATGACTTTGGAACTAATCAGATTAGGAACCTTCTAACCTCTGTCTATTGTTGGAAATCAGATTCTTTTGAACTCTGTGAACTCTACAAACCTGAGATCTAATTCATATGTTCACCAAATATGACAAAATCACCCCTATCTTCAGCAAATAATGCAGATAACACTTGGGTCACATACCAGTACTGCTGGGAGAAAGAAAGAGAACAAAAGATGTAACCTTTCATTAAGCAGGCTACAAAACAATGGCTTATACCAGATTTGATATAGGACAGTCACGATATCTGCACTCATCAAACCAGAGTTAAGGGAGCTCAGAACATGGAGGCAGTTTGTATCTCTCTATTTAAAAAAAAAACGGTAGCTAAACTAATCAATTCGTTATCTATTTGAAATCTTAACCAGCACAATTCATGTAATAATCATTATCCATTTTAACTGCATCTCCAAGATCCAAATGGAGAACAAGTTTTATTTAAAAAAAAAAAAAAGAATAGATCTCAAGTTACTGGTTGGGTCTTTCCCAATCAAGCTTTTTCCAGTTGCAAGCAGTGGACAATGAACATGGGAAAATGTGTTTCATACACTTCTGGAAGGCGAAACAAACCTCACAATCTCCAGACCTGCGTTGGGCATTAGAAGGCAAAAGGGGGCGCTTTTGTCATAAATGCCACCATTGCATGTGTTGTCATAATTTTTGATGAAGGCTTCATTAACTACCCTACACCTACAGCAACACCAATCAGAACAATATAATGACTATTTGAGGCATTCCAATTTCCTTTTTTCATTGACACATGTATTTTTATGAACTTGGGAACAAGTCATCTGGGAAAAAAAAACACCCCTCACAAAGCTTATAATGTGAGTTCTCCACCCTTGTTGAGCTGATGGGTACATTCAAAATTTTAAAATCAGGTTTCAGGTTTTCTCAGACAATGGCTATAGCAGGAGTGCTAAAGTGGCGGCTGTGGGCCGGATGTGTCACACACAGGCCACGTCTGTCCCAGCTCCGCAAAGGGGAAAAACATCACAAAACATCACGTGACAGCAACGTGACGCAGCGGGTTTGACATCCAAGGGCTATAGGTTTGCTGATATCAGAGGTGGGTTTCAGCAGGTTCTGACCAGTTCTGGAGAACCGGTAACGGAAATTTTGAGTAGTTCGGAGAACCAGTAGTAAAAATTCTGACTAGCCTTGCCCCCATCTATTCTCTGCCTCCCAAGTCCCAGCTGATCAGGAGGAAATGGGGATTTTGCAGTAACGTTCCCCTGGATTGGGGAGGGAATGGAGATTTTGCAGTATCCTTCCCCTGCCACGCCCACAAAGCCATACTGTCAGATGTAAATGCCTTATTCCCTAATGTTTAAATAATGTATATATGGGATATCAGGGGTTAACTTATTCTTTGTTTCTTAATGTATTCATTATTCACCACTCCTACTCTTGGCTCCACCCTTTGTATATATAAGGAGCCACCTTCGCCATTTTCCTTGCTTCTATTTGTGAATATTCAGTGAATATAGAATGCCTACTATAATTAAAGAGAAATATATTTGAATCTCTAACTCTAAATATTATTATTGAGTCTGATCCTAAAAATATTGCAACAAACTGGTAGCAGAGGATGGTTAATTGACTCAATAAATAACTAAAAATGTCCAAGAAAGATAGGCCCAACACCAGGGCCTACAGCAAAGAAATAGAAACTGAACAAGAAATAATCAACGAATCCACAAACGCGATTTCGAGAGAATCCGAAGAATACACCACTGAAGAAGAAGAACTAATAAATGAAAATGATGGCCAGGAAGAAATCGAAATAGAAAATAACGAACTCAGGTCAGAGATACTAAAGATTTTAAAAAGCCAGAAGAATGATGAAAGCCTCATCGCGAACCTCCAAGAAATGCTGAAGAACAGCGGAGCAGCGAGAGAGAAAAACATCGCTAAAGAGAAACCCAAAGACCAAAAAACTGTGAGTGATGTGACTACAGAGAAAGTCGTTATGAAAAAGAAAAGATGTGATCCCGCGCGAAATTTTGAATGGCAGCCATCTTGGTTTCAACAAGCCTCCAAAGTGAGCGAAGCAGAGCCAATCAAAATGCTCAGTTCAAAATTTCTGGCGCCAAAAACGTTATCAGACAACGAAAGTGAAAAGGAGGATTCAAACTCTTCGGAAGAGCCAGAATCAGAAAATGAAAACGACTTAACGAAATCCCAAGTAAAGTCAGCAATGAAGACGCTTTTTGCCGCATTCGGGCCAAAATTAAAGATTTCCAAAGCGCCAACGAAGAAGCAAGCGAACAAGCCGATGCTTCAAGACCTACACGCTCCCATCCTGACTTCGAGAACGACGACGCCCGAGCCCAGAGAGCCATGTCGATTCCGCCCTACACCGCAGACCGAAGCAAGTGCCAACGCACCCAAAAGAAAGAAAAGAACAGCCGCCGCCATCAGAACTCCTAAGACCGAGCCAGAGATCAACTCGTCTGAAGAGGAACGGAGCGAGCGAGCTGCAATGGAGAGAACCTTCCACGACGACGTCAAAGAAGAAATGAACAACGCGCATGTGCGAAACTACGTAGACGGTCCGGAAAGACTTGAACTGGCCAGAGAACCGCGCAGACTCGTTGCGAGCATTCCCATGCCGTTTTGCAATTTTCTACACTTGCGAGACCACGGACTGCCTCAGGTTGTAAGTAATGGACAAAATAATGTGGGTAACTTACCCAGTGACTTCCCAAAACTTAGAGTTGATGGCATTAATTTACAAGAATGGTATCAACAGCTCCAAGTTGTATTTATGAAAGAAAATTTACTATTCTTTATCACTAGTCCCCCAAGAAGACCTTGGACTTTAAAAATAGATTGTTTACACCATAAGGCATTTTTCTTAATAATATCTAGCGTGTCTCCTGCAATGTATCATAGCATCAAACCAAACCTAACTGTTTCAGAAATAATTCAATGCATGTTTAATTTGTTTCACAGCGATAGTGTAGCTACCACCACAAGAATGTCTAAGGACTTCTTTTCTTCCAGAGTAAAACCAGGGGTTTCCATAAGTGAGCATTTAATATCTTTAAACAAAATAAGAGCTGAGCTGCATTTGAGGGGGGAAGTGATTTCAGATCAAACAATGAAAAGT